AGAATCAATAATGTAAGGCTTAAAATTACTGCTTTCTAATCGCAAATTCTAAAAGATTTATTATCTAAACGATAGCAATAGCTAAAATATTGAGGAAATAATGAATGATGTGTGATCGTAACGGCAACAATGTTCCTTCCTCCCACAGCAATCGTGTTGAATTAGCATAAGAAGATCAATACGGCATACACGTGATTTTTGCTTGTGTCTGGGAACTACAACCCTATCAAAAATCTTTTCCAATTTATGTATGTACTTAAGCAATATATCGCATATAACTTCCTACCTTTCTTTAATTTGGATAAGTACTATTTTAATTTTTAACTATCAGATAGATTTGAAAGGCGAGAATTAAAGTCTCTATATGGAGTGGTATGTGCTAGAAATATTGTCTCTCGTTGTGTTTCCATGTGATTGAAGTCTTTGAGTAAAGTAATTCAATTGTTAAATTCTTGGGGTCTGTCCTTCAAAAAGTCTATTTTTTAAATGAAAATCAGAAAATAATGTAAGCTGAAGTAATTTATTCTAAAATTCACATCAAATCTAAGCTCTAGCTTTTCTCCTTCTTGGGGGGCAAGGACAGTATTCAGCGTCGCCTCCAACGTTTCCTTGTACACCAGCCTGACCAGGATTACCGGGCATTCCATCGAAACCGTCTTTTCCTGGCTGTCCTTGAGGTCCAGGGATTCCAACTGGGCCGGGTTCTCCTGGTGGCCCATCATTTCCAGGAACTCCGCGTGGTCCAGGAAGACCAGGGCGTCCGGGCATTCCAGGCATTCCTAGACGTGAGGTTTCAATTAATGCGCAGCAATTAATGTTTCATGATTATCAAAGAAAGCTACACACCTTTGCCAGTAAGGCAGTCCTGTCCGGGAGGTCCATCCATACCAGGCTGCCCGTCATTTCCGGGTGGTCCTTGATCTCCAATCTCTCCCTGTGGTCCAGGCTCTCCGTCTCTTCCGGGCGATCCAAGATCTCCATTTTTGCCGGGCATTCCTTGGAATCCTTCCTGTCCAGGAAGTCCTTCAGGTCCAGGTGGTCCCGGTGGGCATTTAATGCAACCCTTAGGGTAGTCATTAGGCTGCACAATGTTGAGTCCTGGCAGTCCTGTTGGTCCATTCTTGCCATCGGGTCCAGTCTCACCGGGCTCTCCTGGTGGTCCAGGTGGTCCAGGCGGTCCTGGTGGGCAGTC